ATGATTATAATTACTATATTTGGTGTTGTTTGTTTATTGATGATTAAATTAGATATATCTAAAAAGTCACTATATAATTATTTTTATTTGAACTTCCAGGAAGTTGCATCCTACTATATTTAGTCATATAGTAATCAATATCAGTGTAGAATTTTACAAGTAATAAGCTGATGTTTGAAATATCTAGTAATATAACACATTATGATTAGAGATTTTAATTATTCTTACAAATAGAGCTGATATTAACAACAGAAGTTTTTTGCTCATTCTTCTATAATGTAGTCTATATGTATAGTTAGATAATAATATCTTTAAGAAATTCCAACTCAATTTTATTCATTAAATACTTTTGTTATACTTGAAAAATAAATATGCCAAACTTTTCTACCTTTTGAGTAAAATTGATGGTGGATCAACTCCCAACCAGAAAGAAACTTCACAACGGATATTCTCAACTCTATATTGACAACCTATGTCCACAGTGCGATATCTACTCAGAAGATCTCAGTCATATTTTCATATGCCACCAAAGTCTGCCAATCTTAAGAAAAAAAAGAAACAAACTCGACACAATGATTTCCAGTAATATACCAAAAGGGAAACTCAACTCAACAGAAGCAAAGCAATTACTTCTTACCAACCTTAGCAGATCCCACTTCCTTAATCTTGCTCTCAGCAAATTTGTCTCACCATTTAATATTCTTCAAAAAAAAGAAGAAATCTCAAATTACTCTCTCAAAACCCTATATAAAATTTGGAAACAGCGTTTAGCTACTGCCACCACTTCAACATCCTCGGGTATCAAATGGAAAAAATTTAATACTTCCAGCAAAATTGCTACTACTAACTCACGAACTCTGAGTACTTTCAAAAAATATTAACTACTTTAGAAAATTCTAATAATCTTACCGACAAAAAAATATTTACTCCAGCCATAGTTTCATCGTTTTGAATAGGTATCAGCCATTCAACACTTTCAACATATAAAGACCTACTTGGTCTCAATGCGTGCTGATTGATTAGTTGCAATAGGCTACAATTAATTTAATTACTTTGTAATTAAAGATTGTTAATGTAATGACGATAAACTGATGTTTAATAAATGTCTTGCATTTAATGCCTGTTTGCAATAAAAAAAAAAAAATATGTCAAACTTTTTATGTAACTTGAAGGCCAGCTTGTAAAAAGTGACTATAGTGTTTTAATATATAAAAAACCAACTTTTTTCTCTTTCACTTTGCCTATTATATATCAAACCAATCTTAGAAAGTAAGCATGTTAAATTCTATTCATGACTTGGAGGCAAACCTATATATCTGGCTATAGCACTTTCATGTAATTGGATATTACAAATCTCCTAGTTCTCTACTAGGTATTGCCTGAGATGTGTAGATTTTGAAAATCCTTTTGCTACTGCTTGAATGGTTATTGAAAAAAAAAACAAGAATCATTTTTTTTAAATCTTGTATTAAACTCTTTTTAGCAAAGAGAGATGTATATTAGCCTTTATATATTTGTAATATTGCCAGTAATAAGTAATTCCTTATAAATAAAGCTTTGGTTAATAACTGTCCCAGTTATAAAATATATATATATATATATACTGTATATAGTAACAAATCTTAAAAACATATTGCTTTTTTTTAAAACATTAACAAAATTAGATATTTTTATTAAAGTTCTTTTTTTGAAGAATAAATTAACTTACAATAATTTCTTTATATAATTTTGGTTGAATTCTTATATGTTTAACTTATTTGTCAAATATAAGATTTTTATTATCAACAAGTCTTAATTTTTGAAAATTAAAAATCAATCAAATAATATTTCATAATTAATTGTTTAAAAGTATATACATGTATTTTAAAAAAATTTCACAATATAATAAAAAATTTCAAATATCATTATTTAACTTTAGATTTATTTAAATATTACAATAGAAAAAAATTAAAAAGCCATACAAATTTTAATACTATTGTAATAAGGAAAAATCAAAAAAAATTTATCTATGGAATCATTATAAATTATTATTTTTTTTTTATCAACAAATTAAATATGTTGAATATTGTTTCAATTAAACATCTAATTTAAATCAGATGTTTATAAAATATACATAATCTAAGCTGGTTTTGCAGTGAAAGAGTATATTACTACTTGATCTTAACTTATTAGAAAATATTTGAGAAATAAGGAGAAACAGAATTTACAAGCAAGATTTTTATACATTATATTGTTCTAATTAAAGTTTAACGTGTCGATTTTTGCAAGACATATTCCGTATAGACTCATGTTATGAAAAAAGTTAAGTGAATCAATCAAAAATTTTATACGCCGCCAAAATTATTTTTGTGTATGTGTAACTGTGGTGCTGACTGTATGCATATACTGCAGTACTGTAGCATGATCGCTTATGCACAGTACAGTAATCGTGATTTCTAAATCGAAACATGCCTATTTTGTTTTAACAAAAATAGTATTGCAATTGCGTGATATTATTTTCACGGCATAATTATTAGTTGGAATGCTTTATGTTACGTACTCGATTTATGTTAAGCAATGTTTAAGTTGCCATTTTGATGTTCTCATATGACAGCGAAGATTGTTACGAGTGGAATTTCCGTATTGTATTTCCAGTAAACGGCAATTATCTTTGAAAACGACAAAAATGCTAACTCGTTTAATTAAAACAAATTTTAGGATCACAATTATAGATTCAAAGAATTCCTGTCCGCCCATGTAAACAATTGCCTAGATAAAATTTTGAAATACGTAAAATCCCGAAGGTTCTTCTAATACGGAAATTTTACTTAAATTTATTGAAAACGTATCTGCACAAGTGCGGTATGGATGTTGCACGAGTGGCGCCTGTTGATTAGCTTTTATGCTATATGGTTCCTAAAGAATACGAATACTGTACCGTATAACATCTTCTTGCTCTTCTTGCCCAAAGTTTTCAATAAATGTCAGGAAACGATGATGCATCAAAAAATAACTTTAACGAAACAAAGAATTATAGAGAAATGTATTACATTTTTGAACTTCGAAAAAAGTTTAAAAAATGGGAACACCTGCAATCTTTATATGCTATGAAAGTAATCGTTATTTTTGTTCTTTGTTCACTTTTGCTTATATTTGGTAGTTTTCTTTTGATACATAGCCCAAATTCAAATGCCAAGAATTTGGTTTCGACCTTTTTTTCGGGAGCCGTAAGCCTTTCCATTATTTTTGGAAGCCTGATATCTCTTAAAGATATAATTTTTAAGAGCAAATTAGATACACTGGACTCATTATATAACGGAGAATGTGCGTTGAATATCCCCCGGGACGAAAAACAATGGAACGTTGAAAGTTTGCAACATAAGATAGACAAGCTTAAAAACGAAATCAATAAAATTAAAAGTAAAAGTAAATATCCAAGAGGCTTAAATTCGAAAATTTGTGAAGACATGTTGGAGAAATTAGGTGAAATTGAAAAGGAAATGGAAAGTAGAAAAATGGATAAGGAGAAAAATAAGGAGAATATGAAAAATCGAAAAATATTTATGGAGAAAGAGGAAAATGAAAATGGGGATGAGAAAAACGACGAAATATTTGAGGGGGAAGGTGAAAAGGAAAACGAAAATGAGAAAACTGACGAAATATTTGCGGAGAAAGATGAAAAGGAAAGTGGGGATGAAGAAAGTGATGAAGAATCTACGGAGAAAGATGAAAGGAAGGAGAAAAAAAGTAAAAAATATTTTCCGTTTAGCATAAAGACAACTATTGTATTAACAAAAATGATAAGAATAATGGAGATAAATGATCTTGAAAAAAGCAAAAATATTGAAGAAATAGGAGACATTTATCGAGTAGAATTATACTTTATAACAAAATTGATCGAAAATTTGCGATCATCGTTGGTATGTCGATATATCTATGCCACTATATTTTCCATCATTCTTTTTGTACTAGTATCAATCGCTGCTTACACCTTGATTGAAGAAACTGATGGACCTATATTCAAAATCATAGACTTAAGTCTTATTTTCTGCTCCTTGCTTTGCATAATTTTCACCTTATTTGTTTTACTTTATACTAAGTGGATATTTCCAAGAATCACACGTCAAAGAATTCTTTTCGAAGATAATATTGTTTTAAAGGGTCCATCAAATAAATTATCTTTTTATCTTTTTATCTTTTCTTCTCCGGTTATAATCTTTGGTATTATTATCCGTATGTGTTCAATCAAGCTTTACCATTTTAAAAATCACAAATACCTGTGTTTAGTATTAAAAAGAACCGAGATTAATGTCAAGGAGATGGATTATATTAAGCGTCTCATTTATGGCTATAATGCTGTATAAGTTTCAATTTCAAATGTAAATACTGTACGTATTATTTTGGTTTGCCACTATTTTGTAGAAATAGAGAATTTCTCAGTCACAACGTCATAAATCATTGGGATTTTTCCCCAATTTTGGGGGGTTTTTTTTTCTTAATCATTTATGTTTTTGTGATATTTGTTTAAACGAAATTCACAATAAAAAAAAAAAAATGATTGGACTTCAAAGATACATACTGTATGGTAATTTAATATCGTATCATAATTTAAACCCAGATATATTAACGAGTCAGTATCAAAGTTCAAGGTGATGTATGGTAATTGTATTCTACGAAAAGCTTAACAAATGAAAAAAGTTTTTCTTGCTTTGTTTAGTCTCATAAGCGTACCCAGATTTTTTTACGTCATATACGAAATAAAAAATGTCTCATTTTGCGTTTACTGTAAAAAACAGATCAATGATACAGCAGTACGAATTCACAAAAAAATTGTTATAAAAATAGCAGTACAAAATTGTCAAAAAAAGAATCAAAATATTGAATTGTTGAAAAATTAATGCTGTTTTGTCTAACGATAAATACTATAATCTCGTGAAATAATAAATCAATTTCGGTAAGTAGAAAGCATTATTGATTTATTGATCAGATAATTACATATATTATATTATATTTTATTAGATATGGGTAACGATACGAGTAAATATGATTATGATCTGAAGAAGGCCAAGGTAGAACAAGAACTTAAGATGAAGGAGATGGAAATTAAGAGTGGACAAGAACTTAAAGAGAAGGAGATGGAACTGAAGAGCCAACGCGAGACGGCTGAACTGATAATTGAATTAAAAAAGGCCAAATCGAAATACCTCAGTGAGCTTACGAAGCCTTATATGGATATTATATGGGAGGTTATTAAGCAAAATTCCATCCTCTATGACAAAGCCAACGACTCTTTAAATAAATTGACGAGTGAGAACCTCCCCGAATCAGTCAAGAAAACCATCATAGATACCTATAATAGAATCACCAATGTATTGTGATGCTTTATCTTTTTTATTTGCAGTATAATGTTCCGTTTACTGATCATGCAATTATATACTGTATATAGGATATCATGAGTACTACCGACCTTAACAATTATGCAACAAAAGAAGCCAATAAACTTAATATTCAGGATACCGAGGAATATATTAAATTGATAAACATATTGGTCGATAACGGTCGTCTTGCCAGCAAAGACAAAGAAAAACTTCTTGATGTTCAAATGGTCATGTAATTGCAAACGAGAAACCCGAAGGTGTAAAAAAAAAAATAAGTTTACAAGAAACAGGCATGCAAAAAGAAATTCTTATCAAAAATGAATCGAATGTAAGTTCTTTTATTCTCCTTTTACAGCAAAATTGTGAAATGACACAGGAGAAGTTAGAACAATAGCGGAAGAATATTGCATTTGAATTTCTGGTTAATACCGAATATTGGAAAGAAAAGCGTGAAAGTATGACCGAAGCAGAGTTCCTAATATATAAGAAAGAAAGAGAGATCAAAACGGGTGTTCCTGATAATAAATATAAAAAAGAATTAAAGGAACGCTATGAGATGCTTACTGAATATGTGTAATACAACAAATACCTTCTCACGGTATTCACATAAATACTCTTAACACTTATTAATATCTGTGAAATTATTTTTTTTTGTTACAAATTATTACAAAGGTCAACCTATTTAGTAAATTCATGAGGTGGAGATTAAAAGGGAGAAATAAGCATGAAACATGCTAGCTGCCCCTTTATGTGTAGTAAAGTAATGGATGTTTCTTCTATTCCATATTATTCAATTATCTATCTTGTTGTTGTCACCGGCGAGTCTGTCGCTAAAACGACGCACTCTTCGTGTGACGATAATCCGAATGCTTGGATTTCGGCACTAAATAAGGTAAGGCTTTAACTCCGAGGCGGATTACGATTTGACCGACTTTCGCACTTGCTAATCTCTTCTTGACCGTCGTTCTCTCTTTAGGCGCGTCTCAAGACTACAAGTGTCTCTCTTTACGGTACCAAAAGGTAACTCAGCTTCTTTTCTCCTTAAAGATGTTTACTTTAATGTAGTGATGTGAACTTAGCGTACTTTAAAGAATGTAAATATGATTGTGCAAAGTTGTGCATTTATTGAATAAAGCGCGAGTGTGCAAAACAAAATAAGTGTTCTTAAGTTGACGCGTAAATGCCCATTTCATGCCATTACTAATTATTACATCATCGACATTATTATTACACGACGCGCCACAATATCGCGTTCCCATCTCTATTGTTCCCATAACAATCTACAGTATATCATTCAAGATAAGACTATCAATAAGTACTACTTTTATATAAATCTCAAAAGAAAAATTTTCTTTAATATATAATCACTAGTATATATTCATTTAACATCAATATCTTGTTACTCTTCTTCTGAACAACTTGATTCAATTGAAAAGATTTTGTTAGTTAACTTAAAAAACCTATTGTTTAACAATATGTTGTAGATTTTCAATTGAATTAAAATTTGAACTTTTAAATAATCAATTTACAGCAATGTAAAAATGTTAATATTTTATTCTATAAAAAAAACAATTATAGTGATTACTCAAACATATCAATAAAAAAAATAGTTACCTCAGTCAAATTGAACATATTGTCCTAAGAAATTGTCTGTCATGGTAGTAATAAAAGAAGAGAAATGAAATTGAAGTTTGTTATAAAGGATATATTATATTGTATAAAGTTTCAAGTGATAATTGTTATATTAGATTAGTATTTGGATATTTGTAAAATTTCTAAAGAAAAATTATTGTATTGAAGAAATAAGTTAAGTTGATTGTTAATTAAAATAATGTTAAAATATATTTTGGTTTTAGAAAATATTAAAGATTTAAATAAATTAACATTTGGAAATTGTTAAATAATAGTTTGGTAAACAGATTGTTTAGAAAATTGTTTTTGATTGTCTTTATTTTGAATGTATTATCAGATTAAAATTTGGTAAAAATATTAAGCAAGTTTAAAAAAACTGATAGTTTACATTTATGAGTATTAGAATAAATGTTAAATACCTAGCATGTATATTTTAAAATATTATTAATCTGTTAATATTTAAATTATTATAAGTTCAGTAATTGATTTTATTTTTATTTTTTTAAATTGCAAACAGGCATTAAATACAAAATCTTTATTGAACTTTAGTTTTTATTATCATTACATTAACAATATTTAGTTCATTAAATAAATTAATTAATTATAATTTATTGCAACTATATAATTAATATATATTGCAAATTACTTTTACCTGGATTTTTAACAAGAACCAGTTTCCAACAATCTCTTCTCAATATATCTTTGTATCTATATCAATAATATATTCAACCAGCCAAAACACATCATTATTAATTAATCACAACTATGTAACAAGCAATACTCAATGGATTAAATTTACAAACTACTACACTAATCTTTTTAATATTCTTCTCAGTATATCTGCAACTTACAAATCTAAATTCCTATTTGAACTAAATATAATTATCAAATTTAAAAAAGAATTTAAGGCCATTGACAATATCAGTTACAGATTTATGGTCACCTTTAAAACAAAAATAATAGCAGATTAACTTTTCACCAGGAAAAAACTTTATAAAAAATACATTAACTCTACAATAACAACCTATATTCATACTGTAAAGTATATTCAGAGGATCTTAATTATATTTTTATATGCTATCAAAGTCTATCAACTTTAAAAAAAAAAAGATATAAACTCAAAACTATTATTGTTATCAATATTTCAAAAGGAAAACTCAATTCAACTGAAACAAACAAACTACTTCTCATTAACCTAAATAGATCCAATCTTCTAAGTCTTACTCTAGAAAAATTTGTTTCTCTATTCAATATTCTTTGAAAAAAAAAGAAAATTTTAAATTATTCTCTTAAAACTCTATATAAAATCTGAAAACAATGCTTAGATATTGCCACTACATTAATATTATTAAGTGTCAAATGAAAAAAACCAATACTTTCAATAAAACTACCAACACTGGCAACAAAGTTATAAATAATATTTTTTAAAAAAGACTTAACACTTTAGAAAAATCTAACAATCTCATTGATAAAAAATTATTTATTCTAGCTACAGTTTCCTTATTTTAAATAGGTATTAGCCATTTAATACTTTCAATATGTAAAGATCTACTTGGTCTCAAATATATTAATTAATTAATTATAATAGGCTATAATTAATTTACTTACTTTATAAACTAAAGATTGTTAATATAATGATGATAAATAAATATTTAATAAATGTTTTACATTTAATGCCTGTTTGCAATAAAAAAAAATTAATATGTATTAATACCAAGAAAATATTTATATGGTATATTAATGATGTTAAATAACTAATACCTATTCAAAATAATAATATTATGGCTGAAGTACAAATTATTTTTATTATTTAGATTGTTAAAGTTTTTTATAATGTTAAGTATTTTTTAAAAAGTGATTGTGTTGATTAGTAAATATTAATAATACTAATAATTGTATTTTTTTATTTTATTATTTTTTTTTTTGGGGGGTTTCCCCTCATAGGTAAGCATCATTTCTTTATTTGATATTGTATATAACATGGTATACAT